CTCGCCTGAAATTCATATTTCAGTACTCATAAAGTGTGGTCTGTAGGCCAATGTCACATTGTAAAGTCTTTGTTGCCACTCTGCAAAATTAAGTACAGAAATTGAGAATAAGTGTTTAGAAACTTTTATAGCAGTTTGATCTAGGAGCAACATTTTTATTGTATTTACAAAAGTACCAGACTGCAAAGGATTAGAAATTTTAAAAACTCATCATTCACCACGCATAGTTTAGAAAGCACTGCTCTACCACAATTTTCAAAAGGAAAAAGGCACTGTACTTGTACTTTAAAAAGAGGGTCATGTGGTGTTTCCTTTCCTATACAGTACAGAGTATTTTTCAATTTGCCTGCACTTATAAAGACATAATGGGAAGGACAGCCCAAAATGCAATTACGGATACAACTGGTCTCACGAGCAGATTGAAGCATTCCATTGTTACCTTGTGAAATACAAACCAAATGGAAAAATTAATTTGACTCATTTTACTGTTTGATGAATTAAACGTAAGTCAAATACGCCCCAGGGCTAGGCTTTTCTTTTAACCTACCCTGCATGTTTAACTACAGCTAACTGTAGCTTTTCAGAAGAGTGATGTAAATATTTGTCTTTCCTATCTACCCACAAGGTTACCAAGATGTGACAACAAACAGTGTTTTAACCAAGGTGTCCCCTTATCTCTGCCCTTTTATTTAAGAGAGTCACAGATGTTTCTACCTGGAATCACATCACACCAAAACGTGCCCACATCTGAGCAGCTTTTCGGTCTCTGCCCTCCTCCTCAGTTTGTTCCTGCAGCTTCTCCTCACCTCACCCCAGGGTCCTTTCCATGAAGCTCTTGGTTCAACAGAAAAGCCAGCACCCCAGGGACATCTGTGTTTACGTACTGAGCAGGGAACAAAGGCAACACGCAACATGCACTTGAAGTCGCCCCAAGTTGCATCCCAGATTCTGTCTTGGAGGGTGGCAGTGGTGCTAACAAATGGGGCCAGGAGAGTCCCAGGCATTTGTGTTTGTCCCCGACTTTGTTGATATATGATAAGGCATAATGGGCAGGGTCACACACTGTCCATAAGGCATTCTGGTGTCACTGATTTGTGCCTCATTCCACCTTTTCAAACTTGTGCGTGAGCAAAACAAAATCCTAAGATGCCGTTACTCAGTTTTAACTACCACTCTCTATTAAGATGTTCCGTTTGATGTTTTATAAATTAGGAACGAGAACATATTCTTTGTGTACAACAGGGAAAAATATTTCTGTACTTCAGGGGTGCTTTTAGAATATGCTCCTGTTTTAAACTTCTACTTGAGTAGAAATGGGTTTAACAACCCACCTAGATGAAGATGAAAATGGTTTAGGGATGTACTTTCTTTTAAGGAAATTCTTTTGACTAAACTTCACAAGAATTATTACAAAATAAGTGAATGACACTCACTAGAGGCAGAAAAATGACTTAAGTAACACTCTATAGTGTTGACTATAAGGACTAATAGATCAATTATATACAGAAATCTGATTTTTTTCAACAGAGAGTGGTATTCTCCCAAAGGTACCAGCTAGGAATGTAATTTTACCGTTTCACGTGTGGTCTGCTCATCCTGCCCTCCTCCACCCTGGCTCTTGGGCCACAGTTTCTGCACAGAGCTCGAGTCTCCTCAAACACATTCCACGAGCTTCGAGTGCAGAGACATGGTGTACACTTCTGGCTGTTCTACAGAGCACTTCAGTCCAGGGTGGCTGAACACGCGAGTGACTGGTTTCCCATTTACTTAGAAGTCATGCTGATATTAAGCATAAATATAATCCAGATAAGCTTTCATTTTCTTGGCCTAAAGGAATATGACAGGATTAAAACAAAAGTGAATCAAAGAAGACCCAACGATTTTGAACCAATAACATAGAAGCGATTGTACAATTTGGACCCACTTAATTTTGTGTCTAGCTGTGAAACATATATTGTGGTAAAAATAAGATCTGAAAGAAAGTGAATGACTATGTTATCAATTAAAATAAATTAAAACTTTTAAAAAAGTGAATGACTATAGACAAAAGTATACCAAAATATAATCAATATTTATATTGATTTATATATTATTTATAAGGTAATTAAACAATATTCAACTATGACAAGTAACCCTATAGACAGTTAAAGTTTTAGATCCATGAAAAATACATATATATATATAGTTAATTTTACACAGTCACGGGTCTTGTTAAGCAGTGTGAAACACGTTCTTGTAAACAGAATCATACAGCTTTAGGAACTTGCTATTAATATTTAAAAGAAAATTGTTGTTAATTTCAGAATTAGCCATCCTCTTATTCATATTTGTATAGATTTTCACATATTGGGTTAGTTATCAATTTAAAACATTTACCTACTTAGATGTTGAATTCCAACATTTCCAGAGTATTCCGAAAAGTTAGATTTTTTTTCCATCCCAAGACCAGCTTGGACAGAATTAAAATAGTCTTTCTTTGGTCTCACTAAAATAGGAGAAAATCACCTGATTGAGAACAATAACAAACATTTCCATCCAAAATCCACTTGTAGGAATGTCCTGAGAAAATCAGTGCACATGTCCCCTGATCTGGGCTGCTCTTCTGTCTGGGGGCTGAGCCCATCCTACAACCAGCTCAGTCTGGGGGTCTCCTGTACCCTAGAGAAGGCCCTGGGGCTTTCACCTGAACCCCTCCTTGGGTGGAAAATGACTTCGGTTGGAGACCATGAAGACCCACATCCAAGAAAGTTGAGTCACCAGGGTGACCCTGAGTTAATAGTTTCTTGGGGACTTACAAATAACAGTGTTCCTAAGTCGAACCCAAAAGTCACCCATAGTTGTTGCTTTACTTTGGAGGCAAAACACCATTTTCCTGATCCATATGGTCACCTAAACCTCCCTTATGTTGTACTTCTCCATGGAGGGTCTTTTAAGCCCAGAGGAATATCCTGAAGGGTATAATTAAAAGACAGTGTGAAAAGTAAAAGAAATCCAGGTACCAGGTGGGGTATTAATGTCGCCTCCTAGGGAAAAAGTCAGTCTAGGAGATAAAGAAAAGTTCTGACGATGGATGGTGGTGATGGTTGCACGACAGTGTGAATGTACTTAATGTCACTGGACTGTACACTGAAAAACGATTAAAATGATAAACTTTATGTTATGCATATTTTACCACAATAAAAGTCAGTCTTATACTGATATCCATTAGGCCTCTCGGTATGGTCACATATGGCCAAAATTTAAGAGAGAGAAACTTATTCTAAAATCAGAAAAGGACAAGGGCCGTACACTTTCATTTTTACTATAGTTCTCTCATTGTTTAAAACATTAAGGTTTGGAAGACATTTAAATGTTGGCATCACACAGGAAGTTCACCTCCAATTTATTGTTGGCATTTAAAAGTGGTGCTAATTTATAGGCAGTTCCGTGTGGCTACCTAGTTTGTTATGTCCATTACACAACTGAATAAAAACAGAGAAAAAACAAAACAACACCCAATACCTCCTCCCTGAAAACCTTCTGTTTTGATGCCTTCCCCAAACATAGCAACTATTTAAATGTCTTCTTTTTAAACTTTCTCACTGTATTGAAATCTCTTTTTTCACAACTTGGTTTTCTATGTAAAGAATTCCTGCCCCCCTCCCCCCACCCCCAGCACACAGTTAGGATAAACATAACGTGTTGATTGATGTCACAGAGCTATAGGCTGCCAATCCCTGGGGAAAGTTATTTCCTTTCAGTCCTGGATTGATGTGGAAATAATTATACTGGGTAAGGAGATCCAAGATGTGTGGTAATACTCAAATGCCAGGGAGGTCCCCTGGATAGCTCGAGTGGAACCCAAAGTCCAGAGCAGCAATTCTACGAACCCCAGCCACTGCAGCTGGCGGCAGGCTGCCACCGTGTCTGCCCACGGACACAAAGGGTGGAGCTCGTGTGAACACTGTCACGGTAACACCTCAAGGGGATAACTTCTGACACTGTCAATTAAATGACCACGTTATATAAAACACAGATGTTTCCAAGCAGGAATGGGCTGTGGAGGTCAATTAAGAACTCTAGTTTTGTGTTAATTAATCTTCTTAAAAAAACAAGATGACAGCAGGAACAGTTCACTATCGAACATCTGGCTTGTGTAGTGCACACAACTGATCATACCCACTGCAACAGAAGATGAATGTTAATTTCATACACCACAGCACTTAACACACCACTTTTTAAAGGTATTGTAGAATACAAACATGTGGGAAAACATTAGTACCAAATATCTTGTTAAACCACTCTTAGAAACGGATGTGTGAGTTTGAAGTGGTATGTCATTAGCAAGATTTGAAAAATTATTTCGTATTTATTGAAACTCAAAACAGATTAGCAAAGTACCTCTAAAATAAAAATTACCAAATATTAGAAAATTACTTCCAACATAAAGATGACCAAAAATTAGTGAGCCTGAGAATATTAGTTTTCTGTTGCTGCTGTATGTAACACATTAGTACAGACTTAGCGGCTTAAATACACATATATTATCTTAAAGTTCTGCAGGGTAGAGGTCTGACATGGACTTCGCTGGGCAAAAATCAAGTTGTTGGCAGGGTTGTGCTCCTTCTGAGGCTATAGGGGAGATTCTGCTTCCCTGTCTTTTCTTGTTTCTAGAGGTTGTCCACACTCCTTGGCTCATAGCCCCTTCCTCCACCTTCAAAGCCAGCAATGGTGCGTCTCTAACCATTCTGCTGTATTTCACATTTCCTTCTGGATCAGACACTCTTTCCAATTCCTGCCTCTACCTTTAAGAACCCTTTCAATTATACTGGGCTCACCTGGAGAATCTAGAAAAATCTCCCTAGTTCAAAGTCGTTGGATTAGCACCTTAGTTCCACCTACAACTTTAATTCTCCTTTGTCATTTAAGCCAACATATTCACAGGCTCTGAGGATTAGGACGCAGACATCTTTGGTGGGGGCAATTATTCTGCCCACCATAATGAGATTCCACACATTAAATACACATTAAATAGACCACAGTTTAATATTTCTGCAACAGTTCGATAACTGTCATTCAGTTGCTTTAATCTACAGAATTTATCTTTTTTTGGTCTAAATAAAACCTATTAAGCTGGCCAGATACAGCGATAACAAAAAAATGTAAAGAAATATCAAATGAACTATACAACATTACAAAGTAGTGGTTATTATTTGTGTCTACATGTATGTATATTATATATATATATAAACTATACATTTATACATATGTGTATTTATAAGCATATATGTATATACACACACATACACATAATTTTAAAGTTAATCAAGTAAGTTCTAGAAAATTAATATACAACAAAGACTCCTGGGAAGGTAATGCTTATAAAACAAGCCCATGTTTATGATGTTCTAAAATCAGTCCAAAATGAGATTTTTAATGAAGAACATAAAGGATAAATTCTCTCCGTGTTAGTCATTTTTCCTACTTGTTTTCTTCTTGCTTTTCTCCTGTTGTCCATATTAAACTTCCTTGTGCTCTCAAAGGCCTGCCATCGGGTCAAGTGACCAGGTCCCTTATGGACAAGGTCAACTCACCAACTCCCAAAAGTATCAGTGCAGCTGCTTTGGAGGAAATCACTGAAAAATAAAGCAAAACCATCCGTGCGCTGTTCCATCCAGTATACCTGCGATTTGGGGGAAGAAGGTCCCAATTCCTTCCATGGCTGAAATGCTGGCTTTGGTTTTAGAGCAATGCTTTACTTTCAAGTGTGACCACTGCCACTGGCCAGTGCTGGTCCCCGGCTCCCAGCAGACTTAAAAGACGGGAATGTGGTAGTGGCGGTCGTTCTCTGTCAGCAGGGGGATCTCTGGCCACTCCCTGAGAGGCTCCTCTGGGTAGCAGACTTCAAAGTCTCTGGAGTTAAACTTGAACAGTCTGAACACTTTTATCTTTACTTCAAGGGAATATCCAAGTATAAACATATCGATCTGGAGATGAGATGAAAGAGAGGTCACAACTACACACTTTCAAATTCCTGCCTCCCGCCACGGCGGGGGGTAAGTGTTCCTTTGCAGTTTATGAAATGATCTACTGTTGACAGACCTACCCACGAACCACTGAGTGGGCGCAGAGCTAGGAACAAATGTCCATTGTGTGGAAGGAAGGGGACATGCGTAGGAACATCTCTCGAGACTAGCATGAAGAAATCACAGGAAAAAGCTGTTTGCATAAAAATATTAATGGAAAAGAAAGGAACGGTCACAATAAAAACTGCACTGCTTTCTAACCTATCGTTATAAAATAATTTGCGCAAAAACATTAGCTAATTTTGTTCACCCTCTGGGAAAGCAAAGCAACAAAAAAAGAAACCCTTTTCTATGGGGATAAAAGCATTTTCTGGATTTAAAAAAATGTCAATTAATTTCTATTTATCTGCAATAGGTAACCAAATGCTTTCCCCATGTTATCTCATTTTTCCAACTGGACTTGTTCCTGGTGAACCTCTGTGTGAGAGAACCTGTTATCATCTGAGAACCAGCACAGAGGTCAGAAAGGCTTCCAGAACCGGTTGCCCTCTCTGCCAGGTCTGGGGAAACAGAGCAACCAGCACAGAGTGAGGAGGTTTATTACTCTTCCTTTCCTCATTTTAGGAGCCATAATATCAACCAACCACCTCCGTCCAGGTGGTTATATCACTGCTGAAAGTGACCCCCAAACACCTTTGTGTTTAAGTAGCTGAATATATAACACCCTTATTCAAACACACGTGGTTCTTCCACCCCATTTACCTGCTCTAGTCCACACGTGTCGCCCACAGAATTCAGGTGATTCATCATGAAGCTCAAAGGGTCAGATGATGTCTCCCTGGAAAACAAGGCTCTAAAAAGGCTGGGAATGACCTTTTTTATCTTCATTTGCTCATAAACTTCAGTGACTTGATATAGCATGATGAACTTTAAAGCTTCATAAAGTTTATATTCCAGAATGGCATCAGAAAAAAGGATGTTGCACATATATCCTCTCTTGTGATAATCCTTAATTCCATTAAATTCAGTCCACTAAAAACACAGATGTAAAAGTGAAATTTAGAAGGGTAAAGGTGACTATATACACCAACGCATACTTTTTAAAGTACTTATAAAATTATCCAAAGACTAATAGAAGAGAATGGATCTTTAACTCTTCACTTTTTATCTTCTGGCACTATTTCCTATTTTATTTTATTTTAATTTAATTTTTTTTTTTTTTGAGACAGAGTCTCGCTTTGTTGCCCAGGCTAGAGTGAGTGCCGTGGCATCAGCCTAGCTCACAGCAACCTCAAACTCCTGGGCTCAAGCAATCCTGCTGCCTCAGCCTCCCGAGTAGCTATGACTATAGGTATGAGCCACCATGCCAGGCTAATTTTTTCTATATATATTAGTTGACCAATTAATTTATTTCTATTTATAGTAGAGACGGGGTCTCGCTCTTGCTCAGGCTGGTTTCGAACTCCTAACCTCGAGCAATCCACCTGCCTCAGCCTCCCAGAATGCTAGGATTACAGGCGTGAGCCACCGCACCCGGCCTCACTATTTCCTTTTTTAAAACCACAAGTATTTTTCTCTCTCCCCAAAATTCATATGTTAAAACCCTAATCCCAAAGTGATGGTATTAGAAGGCAGGGCCTTTGGGACGTGATTAGGTCATAAGGGAAAAGCCCTCATGAATGCACTGGCGCTCTTATAAGAAGATGCCAACAAGCCTCTTTCTACCAGGTGAGGACACAGCAAGAAGAGGACCGTCTATAAGACAGGAAAAAGATCCTCACCAAAAACCCCTCCCTGCTAGCACCCTGATCTCAGACTTCTAGTCTCCAGAACTGTGAAATATAAATGTTTGTTGTTTAAGCCACTAGTTTATGGTATTTAGTTATATGGCTGTTATAGCAGCCCATATAACTATCAGCTGAAACAGATGGATATATATAAAACTTTTACACTAACTAGTTTAAATAAAATATTTTTCAAAACAGTACCACCTACTTGTGCTAAGCAATCAGTTTTCTAAAACTGCTTAGCATAGTCGGGTTATACAAAGGATACTCCAGAAAAGAATAGTGCCAGCAGTCTTTAACACTCACCATGTACCCTGCAGTTTAAAGCACTTGATGTGTATTAAATCACTGAATAACTGTACTGAGTATATACTATTCATATTTCTATTTTACAGGTAAGAAAAGCATAGCTCAGAAAGGTTAAGATATTTCCCAACGTAACCTAGCTAGTGGTAGGCTCATGATTCATTCCAAATTATCCAAAATCTGTGCCATGATTAAAAGGCAGAAAGAATGTGTAGAAAAATTAAACTAGACCCTAATCTCTCACCATATATAAAACTCAAATAAAAATGGATTAAAGACTTAAATATAAGACCTGAAACTATGAAATTACTAGACAAAAACATTGAGGAAATGCTTTAGGACATTGGTCTGGGCAAGGACTTCTTAAGCAATATCCTCAAAGCATAGGCAACCAAGCAAAATTGAACAAATGGGAACACATCAAGCTAAAAAGCTTCTGCACAGCAAAGAAATCAGTCAACAAAGTGAAGAGACAACCCACAGAAGGGGAGAAAATGTTTGCAAACTACCTGTATGAGAAGGGATTAACAAACAGAATATGTAAGGAGCTCCAATAATTCAATGGGGAAAAGAATCAAATAATCCAACCAAAAAATGGGCAAAGGATCTGAACAGACATTTCTCAAAAGAAGACATACCAATGGCCAGCAGGTATAATGAAAAAATGCTGAACATCATTAGTCATCAGACAAATGCAAACCCAAACTCATGTCACCCCAGTTAAAATGGCTTTTATCAAAAAGACAGGCAATAATGAATGCTGGTGAGGATGTGGAGAAAGGGGAACCCTTGTAACTGTTGGTGGGAATGTAAATTAGTGCAAGCACTATGGATAACAGTATGGAGGTTCCTCAAAAAACTAAAACTAGAACTACCAATATGACCCAGCAATCCCACTGCTGGGTATATATCCAAAGGAGAGTAATTCAGTATATCGAAAAGATACCTGCACTCTCATGCTTATTGCAGCACTATGCACAATAGCCAAGATTTGGAATCAACCTGAGTGTCCATCAGTGGATGAATGGATAAAGAAATTGTGATATATATACACAATGGAATATTTTATAGCCACAAAAAGAATGAAATCCTGCCATTTGTAACAACATGGATGAAACTGGAGAACATATTGTTAAATGAAATAAGCCAAACACAGAAAGACAAATCTCACATGTTCTCATTCATATGTGGGAACTAAATATTAAAAATAATTGATCTCATGGAGATAGAAAGTAGAATGATGTTTGCCAGAAGCTGGGAAGAGTAGTGGGGAAGAGGGGATAAAATGGGGGTGGTTAGTGAGTGCAAATTATAATTAGGTAGTTAGAATGAATAATATATGATAGTACAACAAAGTGACTATAACTATAATCAATGATAAGTTAGGGTATACTTTAAAATAACTAAGACAGTAGAACTGGAATGTTCCTAACACAAAGAAATGATAAGAGCCTGAGGTGATGGATACACCAATTACTCTGATTTGATTAGTTCATAGTTATAGTTATGCCTATATCAAAACATCACATGTACCCCAAAAAGATATACAACTATTATGTACCCATAATAATTAAAAAAAAATTAAAAAGGCAGGAAGAACTCTTAGTCAAATTATTACATCTGTGCCATTCCCAAGTTATCAATAGGTGCCTTCCAGAAGAGATTTCTGAGTACCTTGTCTGGATCTTGCACATTTTTCTATGGAAAAAAAGGTAAATGATTGGTAAGGTTTCCAGGCTAGCCCATTGAAGCCTCCTTACCCTATAAAAGGCCTAATCATCAGGTAGAACAATGTTGCTCTCATTCATTACTTGGAAGGAGAAAGGAGGAGGAAAAGAAATCATTAGTGACTAGAAGAGGCATTTCTACTTACATTTCTTCCTTTCCTAACATAAAGTGATATGCCTGACATTAGAGAGAACTAGCTATACTTCGGATATATGCTTTTATTCTTAGTCTTTTTCTCTTTTTTTCCCCTAAACACTCACCTGTGTTTTCAATAATTCCACACATTTACGTAACTTCCCAAACACATTCGAACCTGTATACTTCTCAGGACCAAAACTGTACTGCTGAATCCAATTACAACCTTGTGAAAACAGCAGTTTTTCAGGAAGCTTGAAAAGGAAGCAGATGCCAACAATGATTAGTTATCTCAACGTTTACTACACACAATTCAAAATATGACACAGCACACTGTCTTATCTCATCTAGCAATCTCCATTTGAAAAGACTGTGACAATAGTTAAATAAAAAGCATATAATCTTTTTTTAATTTGTGGATTAAGTGATTTTTAGATCATATTCTTACTTCATAATCTCACAAGTGATGGAAACCCAAATAAAGAATTGTATCCACAGAAATATTCTTTTTGAATAAAATACTTACCAAACTTCACAGCTATAGCCCTTTAGAAATTATTTTCAACCGAATGATGTTAGGGAAGTATAGTACCTCAGAAAACAGGCAGATTTTAGAATTATGCCCTCTCAAGTTCAAATCTAGCTGTCACTCACCAGCTAGGAGATTACTCAACCAGCATGGATTATTTCCACTCTCAGCCTCATCCTCCACTGCAAATTAAGGATAATGTTGTCCATTTTACAGGGCTTTTGTTCGGATTAAATAAGATTGTGGTATATGTAAGAATCTGATCGCTTGCAGGTATCCAATATGTTTCCCCACCCAACTCAGCTTGTTGCACCCATACAACCCTCTGTGTACGTTTGTATCTCTGTCCTCAGCAACAGCAGCGGGGCTAGCACATTGCACACACTCAACGAGTATTTTCTAGGGAACTCGTAAAAACAAGTTTAAATAAAAGACGTTAAGGAAACAGAACCCATGGTCTTCTATATACACATGCTTTACGTTTCTTTGACCTTCCATTCTCAAATATAGATCCTAGATTATGCCTATTGCATTCAAAATAAAAGTTAAGGCTACTCATCAATAATGTACCACTTTACGTTCAGAAAATAAGAAAACAAGCCACAAACTTGGAGAAAATATCTGCAAATTACCTATCTGATAAAGCACTATACTCCAAATACATAAAGAACTCTCTCAAAATTTAATAATTCAAAAAGAGCAACCCAATAAAAAATGGGCAAAAGATTTGAACAGACATTTCTCCAAGAAGAAAATATGGATGGCATATAAGCACACTAAAAGATGCTCAACGTCATTACTCATTAGGGAATGCAAACTAAATGCACAGTGATACCAATTCACACCTATTAGATTGGCTAAAAAACAAAGAACCTGACAATACCATATGCTGGCAGAATGTTGAGCAACGGAGCTCTTACACATCGCTGACGGGAATGCAGAATGGCTGAGCCACTTTGGAAAACAGTCTGGCAGTTTCTTTTAAAGTTAAACATATACCTAGCATACAACCAGGCAATCTCACTCCTAGGTATTTACCCCAAAGAAATGGAAACTAATGTTCATACAAAATCCTATATGAGAATATTTATAACAGCTTTATTCATAGTAGCCCCAAACTGGGAACAATCCAGATATCCTACATGGGAATGAATAAATAAACAGTTATATTCATGGAAAGGAATACCATTCAACAATAAAAATAGAGGAACTACAAATTCACAGATGAATTCATGGATGAATTTCAAATGCACTATGCTAAGTTAAAGATGTCAGATTCTAAAAGCTACATACTGGATGATTCCATTTATATAGACATTCTGGAAAAGGCAAAATTAGAGGGACAGAAAACAGATCTGTGATTGCCAGGGTCTGAAGGTGGGAGTAGGACTGACTACAAAGGTATCCAAGAGAATCTTTTGGGTGGTGGTTACCCACTGTATGCACTTGTTAAAACTCGTAACTACAGAGTGAAAACGTGAATTTTACTAGATTACCTTACTTAAAAAAGACAGAAGCCCCTCAAGAAAAGATGGCGGCATTAAAACAAAAAAAAGGAACACTGAGCACTACTATCTTTATGAGATGGTTTATTTGCCAAGTGACATGAGAGATAGAGGATTGGGTTAAATAGCCTCTAAAAGTTTCTTCAATCTGGAGCACAAAGTTACCCAAAGACCAGGAGTTTCTGAGTTGCAGATCATCAACATGACATTTCCTGAGTTTCCAGTGAAGACATACCTTAACAATGTCTTTTTCTCTCATCCATGATGGGAAGGAGATGCCCCGGCTGAAAATCTGAAATAACACCGATCTGAGAGCATCATAGTTATCTCTCTTGACTTGTCGAACACATTTAATATGATGCCGCCAAAACAGCTCCTCATAAGCCTATTAGCACAAAAAGAGAAAGCTGTTTATTAATCCCACTGGACAAGAGAATAAAGAAAGCAAATTCACTGTATTTTCAGTGAGGTGTTCCTCCCAACTGAAGTGGACAACAGGAACAATGATAAATTATGAACATGACCACATGTAATTTTAAAGTGATTCTCTTGTATGTAGGGTCTGTGACATGATGTTTTAGATGAGAAATCCTGCATGGATTGACCAGGGCAGGTCACTTTGGGCAGATCATTTTGGGCATATAATGGATGCAACATAACCACAGTGAAAAATAGTATGTACTTTAAGAACATGTTAAAGAGTACTTTAAATGTCCCTCTCCACAAACACACACACACACACACACACACACACCACCTTTTTTTCCTTTTGCTAGTGACAAGATTAGACAGCACTGCTGGGGATATTTACCGTGATTGGTCCAGTGGAAAATTCTAAAAATCCTCAAAATATTTTTATGTCAGGGTGCCTAATCCCTTCAAGGACAATTTCCACTGCACATACAGATGTTTAACAGGCCAGAAGATAGCCAAAAAGAGCACAATGCTCAAGTTTCCTGCAATTACAGGTCTAATCTACCTAAGTCCTCAAAGACATAAGCTCTAGGTGAAAGACCCAAAGCCAATGCCTAGCAGCTGTTGGGATATTGAATTAAAGCCACAATTGTTACTTGTATCACATTTTGGTATTGGTTGATGTCTGAATTTAGTAAAGCAGAATGGAATGAATGTTTCCTGATTTTGACAGATTCTATGTCTTCCATAACCTCTACAAACAGACACACCTTCCTCATCAGCTTGGCACGAGGCGTTTCTCCTTTCCATTCTCTTGCACAATAACTGAGTAAATCAACTTCTGCCTCCACGCTGAGGTTCCCTGGATCAAATAAAAAGTAAAAGGCAGATTAATTTTCCCTTTCCTCTCCCTTCCTGAGCCCTCTGGACCTTCAGAATAAAGAAACATATGAATGAAAATATTTACTTTTGAATTTTCTCTGCAGATATCCAATCCACCTGAAAGATAAAGGGAACAACAATATCAAAATTCTGCTTTGGATAGCAAGTATATATTTGAAATTTAAGGATGATGTAATGACATACCATTTCAGCCGATGCCCTAAGGATAAATGCAGCCTCTTGAAGCAGCAGAGGGTGGCCCCTAGAAATGAAACTGCCAACATCACGGAGCCCTTTCCTAGTCTCCAGATGGTATCCAAGGCTTGGCTTGTAAGTAGTATCCAGTGGTGAACCTGGTCACTTCCTACAATAATTACAAAAAAAAAAAAAAAAAGGCATATCACAATTACCCAAGTCATCTTTAAGAGAAAAAAAAACCAAACATATGGATGGGATAATTTTACCTGTAAAGTGTCTATCATTGATTTACATAAATATTTTTAAAGTATTCAAAAACTCAATCTAAAAATTAAAGAAACACCTAGTATTCCCATAATCAATTATTACATATAATATCTCTGTTCCACAAAATTAAAGGAGAATAATAAATGCAGAGAGTATGGGCTTCAGAATCTCTCAGACCTGAATTCAAAAACCTGCTTCTCCTACTTTATCCTGCTATGTGACTATAGCAACCTAATTCCTCTTCTCCTGAATTTTCATGACTGTAAAATGAGGGTGTAAACACTGACCCTGCTGGGGAAAGACAAAATTAAATTTGTAAGCAGAAGCACAGTGCCCGGCACATACTTGGTTCCTGCTGAATTTCTGCTGAATCCACACACAACTACAGGGGTTCAGTTAAGCCCCCAGCACACTGCGGGCAATCAAACCAGGTGGCCTCTAGCAATGCCTCCAATACCCACTTCTGCCCGTGTTCATAGATTTGAATCATTATAGGCCATAACATACGGCACCACTGTAGCAGCACAGGATGAGTGACTCAAACAGCGGGCACACAGACATCATTTCCAGAAAGTAGACCACTTAAAAACAAGAGTCATGAGATGGATTTAGATGAGATATACTGTGATTCCTGGTTTGACAAGACAGAAAACAGTCCTAGAGAGCTCAAAGGGTGCACTTGTAATGTTTAGCTGTGCTCAGTAGATTCCCCACTATGTTATGTTTGGACATGTAAAATGCTGAAGTACAAATGAGGAAGAGGACCTTTGAATAGTGGCCAAACCCCCTCAGATTCATTGCAAAATAATTCCTCCACGGCACATGATTTAGTAAAATTCCAGTGATTAACCACAGTAAAAACCTCATCAACATAGTATCTACAATTTTAGCATTTTTTTCATCATCTGGATGTTTGATGTGCATTTACACTCTCAATAAAGAAAGAATTTGCCAGCAAATAAAAAAATACCTTTACAATTACTTAAAAGGACATTTCCAAAAACAAGTGCTTATCTGTTTAGAACAGTTGACTAGCTATTCAAATCATTATATAATTATTCCCACCTAGAAATCTGGTAAAACTTTTTATGAATGTTTAAACATAAAGCTTTACTAGCTTTCTATCTGTAATCTAGAGTTTTATTAATTCAGACTGATTTCCCAACTTTGAAAATTCTGACGTGTGCAATATTTTGAGCAAATCCTTAAATTCATGGAAAACTGAAATTTTGTCTATGTGATACATATTGTTTTGTTGTAGCTACAAAAACTTTTTAGAAAAAATGGAATATAACACGATTTTACAGTTGTTTCCTCACTATAAAGTTGGACATCTTTTCAAATCAGCACTGAACATATAAATCTACAATAATCCTTTTAATGAATGCAAAATATTTTAGTACAGACTGTCCTATTTGTAAGCACTGCCTTACTGATAAACTTGGTTTCCCATTTCTCACTTTTACAAACAATGCTGTAGTGTATGTTCTTTTCTTACAGTGCTGTAGAGTGATGGCAGCTTTTTCTAAAGGATAATTTCAAGAGGAAATCTTAGATCCAAGGGAGTGCACATTTTTAGTTTTGACAGATGTTGCCCCAGTGCCTTCCAAAACAACTCTGTCGACTGACACTCCCACCGCAGGTAGGAGAGCACCTTTTCCCTAAACCCCAACACTGCTTATGATTTTGTTACCACCCAACTAGGTTCACAGACTTTGATTTCTATTTATATCTTATGGTTCTACATTATCTTAATATAGATGGTTTAAATTTCTCACTTCAGACTAAATTTTTGCAGTAATTCGTGAGACTAGGATTCTCCTGTATGTACTAGCCATTCGCATTTCTTCTTCTCTGAAGGGCCTTTTGAGAGCACCTGCCTACTTCCCAGAGGGCGGTACCCATTTGTGTGCGGACGTGGAGGGCTTGCAGTCGCTGAAGTAGGGACTGGCTGCTTCCCCCTCCCGGGGCGCATGTTTTATTTGTCACAGACTCCATCTAACCTGATGCATTCGTGTAAGTTACCAGTCAGCTCCTCGAGGAATCTGACATGAGCCACCTGAACCAGGGCCGTCTCTCCGGAGCAGAGGGCCTCTCCTGCAGCTGCCCAGTTCTCCAGGGTGCCCCAGGTGACAGTTTTCCCCACTTACACATACTCTTCCCTGCACCCCTGGCCTCCCTCTAACCAATGTGCTCACAAGTAACTCGAGCCAAGAAGGGCTAGGGAGTGTAATCACAGGGGTGTTGGCGGGGGTACCAGGGAGCCATCTGGGGAAGGCAGGGGTACTTTGCAGCACTCGTGAGGTCACATGTAAGCAGGCATGGCCATATAGCCACGTGAAGCATCCATACCGGCTGTTCACTGTTAATGTTAGAACAGGGGCTTCTAAGAGGAGGATGTACAATGTTGTAGTAGGAAAGAGCATGACTTCACCAGTACTGTGTTTCCCAAAAAATAAGACCTACCCATAAAATAAGCTATTGCAGGATTTCTAAGCATTTGTGCAATATAAGCCCTACCTTGAAAGTAAGACCTAGTGATGGGCGTGGCTACGCAGCGTGTCTGCACAACCCATGCATTTCATCAAGGAGCAGTAAAGAAGACGAGCAGCCCTTCTCATCTGCCCCATGAGAGCTCTATTGCTCGACATGAGAGACTGGGGCCAATGGTTCTAAAGGAAATAGAGTCGCAAGAAATTCAGGATGGAATTCAGGGCTTGGAGAGTTATGATGATGTTCCAGAAGATGACGACTTAACTATATTTGAATAAATGTAGATTGTTGTACCGTACTTAAAAAAAATAACACATCCCCTGAAAATAAGCCCTAGGGGTGTCTTCTTGAGGAAAAATAGACATAAGACCCTGTCTTATTTTCGGGGAAACACAGTAACTAAAACAGAGACAATGTAAGCGTTTGCTATGTGCCAGCCCTGAGTTAAGCATTTTACAGGAATTATCTCACTGACTCCTGTGAGGCCCTGGGGTATGACCTCATGGTTCCCATGTGATTTGGGGCAAGTGACTTCACCACCCCAAGCTCCAGTTTCTGAATCTAGGAATGAAGACAGTACGTAACAGAGCCTGGTACACAGCGAGTGCTCAGTGCATGCTTGCTCTTATTATCATCATGGAATCACAACATAGGAGACAGAGCAGCATCTGCCTCTCAGACCTGCTGTGAGGCTGAAACCCTGGGAAAGAGCTCAGCACAATGTCCGGCACACTGTAAGTACCCTAAAAACACGCTGATTTTTATTTTTATTGGTATTCCTGTGATCACCCTTATTTTGCAGGTAAGAAAACTGTGAGGGAGAAAAAAAGATTAAATAATGGGACTCAGCCCGCAAGTGGTAGAGCTATAATCTCAAAACAGAAGCCATGCCATGTGCTATGGTTTGAGTGTGTCCCCAGATTTCACATGCTGGAAACTTAATCCCCAAATTCACGTGATGACTGGAGGTGGGCCTCTGGGAGGTAATTAGGATTAGACAAGGTCATCAGGGCGGGGCCCCGTGATGGGACTGGTAGGTAACTTTGTAAGAGGAAGAGAGCTGAGCTGACACACACAGTCCTGCCCTCTCGTTATGTGATGTGACGCAGCAAGAAGGCCCTCGCCAGATGCCGGTGCCGTGCTCTTGGACTCCCCAGTCTCAAGAACTGTTAAGAAATAAACTTCTTGCACAGCCTAGAATCTTATTCCCTGCAAAACTAAGTTTTGTATATGAAGGAGAAATTAAGACATTCTCAGATAAGCAAAGACTGAGGGAATTCACCAAGACAAGACCAGCCCTTCAAGAAGTACTCAAAACAGTGTTACTCATGAATCAGCACAATAAACACTCACGAATGTAAATCTACTCAAAGTACAAGATCAAAGCCCAGATGCACAATGGCTCAAGAGAGAAACAAAGCAACAAGTTCAACCCAACATAATAAAACAGAAATCTGCCCCATCTATCAGTTATCTCAATAAATGTGAATGGCTTGAATTCCCCACTCAAGAGACATAGGGTGGCCGAATGGATAAAAAAAACACAAGCCAAGTATCTGCTACCTTCAGGAAACACATCTAACCTGCAAGGACGCATACAGACTAAAGGTAAAGGGGTGGAGAACAATATTTTAAGCAAACGGAAGCCAAAAGAAAGCTGGCGTGGCAGTGCTGATTACAGATAACTTAGTTTTTAAATCAACAAAAGTAATAAAAGACAAAGAAGGTCACTATGTAATGGTGAGGGTACAGTTCAACAAGAATACATAACAATTCTAAATACATATTGCACCCAACCTCGGTGCACCCAGATTCATAAATCAAACTCTACTTGTATCTAAACAAATGGATAACACAACACCATAATAGTCAGAGACTTTACACCCACTGACAGCACAGGACAGATCTCCAAACAGAAAACCAACAAAGAATAATGATTAAACAGAACTCTAGAAACAAATGCGCCCTGACTGACATTTACAGGACTTATACCCCAAACAACTGAATAAACGTTCTTCTCATCAGCTCATGCGTCATTCTCTAAGATTGACATATCCTGGACACAAAGCACGTCACAAACATTAAAATATAAATATACCATGTATCTTTTTCAGACCCTGGATAAATGTAAGAAATCAATTCCTAAACAGGAAAGTTTTCTTTCTCATTACAAGTCATGGAAATAAAAACTCTGCTAGTGAATTCACTTCATAAATGAGGAAATCAAGATGGAAATCAAAAGATTCTTTGAACTAAATGACAAAGGTGACAAAAGTTACCAAAACCTGTGGGACACAGCTAAAGCAGTCCTGAGAGGAAACTTTATTTCCATAAATGCCTATATCCAAAAATTGAAAAGATCACAAATATATAACCTAATGAATCATCTCAAAGAGCTTGAAAATG